CTATACTGTCTTGTAATTGGGTTTTACCTGTAGGGCAGTTTTTTGTAAATAAATAAATAAATAAATATCCAAGATCGTTCAGTAAGATTGAACGATGAGAATTTTTATTACCTTTAAACAACAAATCTTCTGAAAAACGACATGAAGAAAAAAATAGGACCTACGTTGTAGAAACTTACTCAATTTTACCTACTGGACATACGCCCGACATAGCAAATATTAGGGAAATTTAAGGGAATTTTGTGATATGTGAAAGAAACGAAAAATTTGTGAAACGTCTACTTTATTATTAAAGTAAATCGTACCGTTCTCGACCTAGAATTCTCGAGGGGAAAGAGAACGGCAGAGAAACCATCGATCGAACATTCCTCAAAAATCGAAACATACTGTGTCATTTTCAATAATAATTGTGAGTAATTAATTCAATAATTTAAGTCAATAAAAGTTTAAATTAGATACCATCCTTGTTCTTGAGCTAAAATTTCAATTACACACACTAGATTCAATCAACACTACCTATATTCAATACTGAAGAGTTTTTTTGTTAGTTAGCCAGTTTCCCAGCGGATACTGAGGTCCCATACGGGAAGCTACTCAGCTATAGTTGTTTTTGAGCCAATATCTCTAGATTGATTATTTCAATTTGTTAGGATATTTTCTCGTCAGGGTAGGAAAATGTTGTAAATTCAACAAGGCCCTAATACACGCTCTAAATTTACAAAATCAAAATCTCAGCACAAAAAGACAGCACATAATTTCTTAGGTTTTAATTTACTTCTTTATCTGTATTGTTTACAGTATGAAACGATTTTGGTTAAATACATGAACTATGCACATGTTATAAAAAATGTTATAAACAAACAAAAAATACATAAAAATGAACAAAATAATAGAAACTTGCATAAATTGAACTCTCAAAAACAAAATAATAATTAATCCACTAACCTGTGAACGCTCCTTACACACACTAATAACAAATTGGATTGAACAATCAATTTTAATGCAAAATAGAAATGAAAATTGAATAATGAATAATTACAGACACTTGTCTAAAGGAACCAGTCCCAGCTTGTTCTCAAGTCTCTCTAGTGCCTAATCGCCTCTTCTCTTGTATCCTCTTCGGTTTCGGTACCTTCATTTTCTGTGGCGCTCCCCGTTCAAACCTAAATTTGATGGCGCAGACATGGTTGCAACATTTACTTTTATTCAGTAACCGATTTTTAAGTTAAAATTTGAAGAAATAATATTTTAAATAGGTGGTTTTCCTCACAGGATTACTTGAAAAATATAATTTACTAAATTTATCACTGCTCTATTAAGCCCTTATCAGAACCTTTTTGTTTTCCTAAATAATCCAAGCAGAACCTGCAAAAGCCGTAATTAGTTTATTTGATCCAATAAATACCAATTAATTTTTTTTCATTCGGATCCACCTTATATGAACTCTATGCATGAACTCCAGCGTTGGTAGACTTTTAATTGCCCCAGACGAATCGATGTTTAATTATCAGGTAATTGTTGTTATGAATTAATGCCGCTTGTATTGATTAAAATTTTTCATTTGATGGCAGATAACATTCAAAACACATCCCTAAATGTAATAACATCAGTTGAATCTCGAAAAAACCTAATTACGATTTTTTGTTTAGAGCCATGCGAGGTTTACAAATCCCATCATTGTAGCAATATTGCGGGGTCATTATTTTGTTTTGCTTTATTTATTGAGCGATCTGTAGTTTTTTTTCGTCATTAATTCTTGCATGGTTTAATAATTTTTGATAGAGAATCGCTGTGGTGCTACGAATCTCCAGGTTTCAGGTTTAGTATCGGGTTCTTCAAAATCGCTTCTCATTCTAGCAAATATAGGTAACCGAACTCTTCTCGAGTGTATTACCTATGATTCATCTAATCAAAAAACTAGAAAAACTTTCGTCTGGGATGTGATAAAAATAAAAGGAATTTTTGGTGTAGCCTCAGACTAATAATAAAACTAGAGACCAAACATGCCATTTATAAATCGCCCAATGTTTACAATCAATCAGCTTTTAGTCCATGACATAAGTAAGAGAGAGATAGACCTATAAAATTGCAACACTGTCCAGTGGCGGCATGTTCAGTTTCCTCTGATTTTTTCCCAGAATTCAATAGAAGTTTTACTCACAATAAATAACCATAAATATCCTCTAACTACGCCAATGTCAAGAGTAAAATGATGTCAAATTTCTAACCGCCGAAATATTGAAATATGCTTGGAATCACTACAAATAATACATCGACGTACCGTTTAAACGTTCTCCACCACAGTTTTAAATCCAAAAATACTACTGATTAACACTTTAAATCACAAAATTAGCTCTTTCGCTTCACAGCAACACTGCCAAATCCATTATGGATGACATAAGTCACATAAGATCATCTGATTGGCTGCTCGTAGATGCAACGTTGCCGATGTGCCATTTTTCGAGCAATATATTCCTGTGTTATTCTAGAATGTTTACCAATTTGAATTAAGAAAAGACTAACTATCCCATTCAAAAAGGCATTTAAGTTACCCATGTTTCAACAAAGATTGATATAAAAAAGCATTTTCATTATATTTGAACATATTTTCAAATAATAATTATCCGTGAACACTTTTAATATTGAAAATCACATCGGATTATTGACAACCAGGCATTTCCTGCAAAAATCGACCTTATGGATGTTGGATCGCAAATTATTTGTTCACTGCTGTATCTGTTGTTTTTAGTTGTTAATCTGTGGGTGTAGTCAAGCTTTATTTTAGTTGAATTACTTATCGACCAAATAGGAACATTTTATTCAAGCCACTTGACGGTAGGTACTGAACATATAATATTTATATGTTCCAACATACCTGTAGCAGTCATACCTCGATTCTTATTGGACCGATTTTTCTTTCGTGAAGCTTTCATGATTTCGGATCCGCTAAGAAGTAAAATCGTGCTTTATAGAAGCTGTATTTCTATTATGAAGTCTCCTCTTTTCCTGCCCTCCTTTTGTTATCCATTACTAAAACTTAAATCATAGTCACTTTGTTATTCGAAGCTTCTACAAAAAGCTCCTCATCAAAATCCTTTTTCTCTTATCTTATTGATCGAAACTGCTCTATTGCTACTTTTGTTCTTATCTTTGGCTATCAAGAGTTGATTTATTTTATTAGAGTTTAATTACCTGGATTCCATTAGAATTATTAAATTTCCTAATTTAAAGGATCGAAGTAACGACCAGTGGCATGTTTGAAGAATGGGGACGAATTTGAGTTTCATTGATATTGATCGGCTCATAAGAAGGCAAAAAAAAGGTTAAGTTGACAAAGCAATTAATGAAAAATCGTAGAGAAGTTTATGATTAAACATTAGAGGAGTAAAATTAGTGAATATTAAAACAAATCAGTAAAGATGTGAGAAAGTTCAACATAGGCGCAGCTACTAGGGTAGTAGAAAAAATGTAAACGTCAAATTACTGAAAACAAAGTAATATTTGAAATACAAAATATGCGTAAAAGGAGAAAAGCAGACGGAAACGATACTGAAGTGACTATATTATATACTGGTCATCATTCACGATTTCTATTCTATTATTCTATATACTTACTATGATGTCCATCGATCAGCAGTTTGATTTGCCCCTTGTCAAGGCTTGAAAGGTATTTTTGGAATAGCAAATGAAAACCTGCTACACATAAAGGCATAATGACAGAAGAGATGCTTCCTGAAAAAGTAAGGAACAAATATTTTAGACTCTCTTTTTACTGCTGATTAAAAAGGGAAAAGGAAAATTTGGTTCCAAAATTTGAAAAAAGGTTTTAGTTTATTAGGTACGTAATTTAATCAGGAACAGTAAAAAGGTCGCCCAACAGGCAGTAGAATACAATGCACATTTAAAACGGATTAAAAAACGACAATAAAACAGCGTTGAGAGTGTTGAAACAAACAAAATTCAGGAAACAATAAAAAAACCATGATTAATTAATGAAGCCATGATGCAGTTTTGACCCTGACGAAGGTGACATTTGTATTTGTATTTGTATCTCATTTTTGACGTATAAAGAATAAACAGTGACAGATAACTTAACGTTGCTGTTGAAATAATAGAAAATGATACATCATAGGCCTGAATAGGAGGGTAATTAGTGTCCTTGAAAGAACAAATTTGGTTGGTAATATATTTATTTTAGGCGGATAATTTGAAAATTATTAAACAAAAATGTTGACCCAATGGTGCATGAAACATTGAATAAATAAATATTGGGCCGGACGGTCTGGAAACTGCAAAGAAAATATTCTTTTTCTGTGACTGACAAGAATTGTCAGCATTTTTGACCGGTCGACAAGTCGCAAAACTCAATATTCTGGTGTTTCAATTATATTTCAATAGTTGCTAAGGAATCAATGAATAACAATACCGGAAACACTTTTCTGGTCTAGGCCGGGAAAGTGATTCTCGTACTGCTGAATAAATGGAACAAAAAGACAAACATTCAACAGATATTTAACCGATCGCAGAGAAAAGAGTATGTGTATTTCGGTGGAAAAGCCATTCTCGGCCTTCGGTGTTTGCCGGCCTTGGCTACGCCTCGCCCGTCAACTTACACCGTTGGCCGAGAATTTGTCACTTTTCCACCTAAATACACAATATACTATTTTCACTGGTAGTAACTTTTCCATATGCCTAGCAATCGGTCAGCAAAATCTGTCATTAGCATTAGCTGACGGTCTATAAATCAAGCTTATGAGAAAATTGCAACAGAGTGTAAAATCCCAAAGCAAAATTTAAAAAAATAAATAAAAAATTATGACTTGAAAATGAAATGAAACAACAAAATGACAAATTGAGAGCCAAAATTTAGGAAATAGATAAAGGAATAAGAAGACATAGAAATCTGGATAGTAAAAGAAAATTTGAATAAAAAACAGCTTCCCAATGATAGCGTTTGGGAAAGCACAAATACAGAAAATAAAAAACTTGAAAAATCCATTATGCATTACGAAGAACAAGTTTATGGCAAAACTTACAAACCTCTAACCGAAATTAGCAAATTCGGTAAAATTTTGAGACACATCTTGAAGTAGGTAAATGTTGATTGAAAAATTAGGTAAAAAAAATGGCAGATTGCACACGATACAAAATTATGGATTGAATTTAGACAAATAGATTCAAGATGTCAAATTCCTATCGTCCTGAGAATTTGCTTCTCTTTTCCGTTTCAGCCTTTCCTGATCACATTGAGCGTAATGTGACGATGCGCTTTCGCCAGGGTATACAGAATTCACGCCTAAAATTCCAGAAAACACTGCCTTGTTTATTCTGGATTTTACAAGAATGGATTACAGATATGGGTTGAATTTTTGAATGGAATAAATTCCGTATCAGAAAGCCTGTTTATTTTCTGGCAAAAAAAAAAAAAAAATGGGTCCCTTTATTTTTAGTTTGGCACATTTTTTCGGCCGTTTCATGGAATTTACCCCTCTCTTAAGGGTAGAAACTACCCCCAACTTTTTTTTTCAAATGTAAAGATATATATTGTGATAGCTCTTTGGAATGGGCATAAAAAAATGAAAGTGCCCATTATTTACATTTGCATTTCGGTGATCCGGAAAGCGAGAAAAAAATAAGAATATATTTTTCCACACAATTTTTTTACAGTTAAAATTGTTGAATATCTTCAGCATTTCTTCTTGGTAGAACCCTTGGGTAGAACCCTAATGCGAAACAAAGCCCCATTTGTAACGTTATGTAATTATTTCTGACGTTAACACACTATTTGATGCCTGATACTCGGAATCTCAACCGTAAAAGAGTGTGTTAATGTCAAAAATAATTACATAACTAGATCACCGAAATACAAAAGTAAATAATGGGTCATATTCCTTTTTTTATGCTCATTGCAACGAGCTATCACAGTACATATCTTTACATTTGAAAAAAAAAGTTGGGGGTGGTTTCTTCCCCAAACAAAAAATAAAGGGACGTTTTTTTTATTTTTCCAGAAAATAAACAGGCTTTCTCTGATATTGAATTTATTCCATTTAAGAATTCCACCCTGTATAAAGGCCGGTATTAGTAAGTAGTTTTTAGTTTAAGATTGGCTGTGATAATAATATGATTTAGATAGTGAATATTGTAAAGTTGTTAAGAGTTGAGTTGTTTGAGTTAATAATTAGTGTCGGAGCAAAGTGTATAGTAATGTGGAATAAATTATTGTTGTGTTAATAGACCTATCTATTTTTACCTGGTATGCGCGCGCAACACGAGGCAATGTCTTTTTATTGGCTAGCTAATGCAGGTGTGAGGTGATCGTTTTGCACGCTGGGCATCTCTTTTTCCTTGTTCATTGCACGTGATCTGACAAGAATAAATCTAAAGTTGATATTCAATTTGACAAGTGTCATTCAAAAGTTGTTTGACATTTTCATTGACAAATACGTTGCACAACACGCGGTTTTTCTCCTTTTCTTTTTATCCTGTGCAAATAAGAAGGACGGATTGCTATACGTAAGTCTAACATAATTTGGTACGTTTTGCCTCGTCTTGCGCAATGAGCGTTCTGTGTCTTTTTTTATTTAATGAAGTTTTCGTATTATTACCTCTTTGTCTGGTAAAATAGATAGGTCTATTGGACTTTGATTTTTGAAATAAACGCACCCAAGATTTCTGTCACGCACCCCGGAACCGTGACAGTACTGTTAACAGAACTGTGTATAAATATCTAGATAATTACAAGAATCTCGATAATTGCCTAATTTCCTAGAAAATTTCATTAAAGCTTCATTCCTTTTTTGAAAGTTTTGGTAGAAGGTAAGTAAATAGTTTCGACCCATACGAGTGGATCGAAAGTAGGTTTAAAGGGCCATATCGAATATTTTAAGTCCTAGGAGGTCTAGACTTCATATTAAATCTCTGAGGACCCTTCACACTGTAGTGTCGTGTTGCCAAATTATTTAAAATGTCTCCAACTGTCTCTAGTTTCTTTTGTTTTCGACAATAACATCAAACCTATAGCTCTTAAAGCAAGAAAAGTGCCTTTTCCTTTAAAAGACAAATTTGAGATTTGAGAGCTAGATAGATCAGTTGCGCAGGGAGCTCTTGAGCCTGTCTCTCATCCTCGCTGGTGTAGCCCGATTGTTGTGGTACCAAAAAATAATGATGAGGTTAGAATCTGTGGTGATTATAGGAGCACCATAAATAAAGTTTCACGTGTAGATACATATCCAGTACCATGTGTTTAAAATATTTTAGCAGCTTTAACCGGAGGAAAAGTTTATGCAAAACTAGACACGCAACAAGCATATTTGTAATTTAACAGTAGATGTTGAGGCAGCGGAAGCTCAAACAAATATAACACACCGTGGAGCATCTGGAGATGTAATAGATTACAATTTGGTATACCTATTGCCCCTCAAATATTCCAGAGGTACATTAATTTACGAATTACAGAAATACCAGGGGTTTTACCCTACTATGACGATATCTTAGTAGTTGGTATTTCAGAAGAGGAAAGCCTTTAATTTTAACATGTGACGCCAGTCCGTACGGTGTAGTATGCATTTCAAGTCAAATTGACGACTTAAATAGAGAATACTTAGTGGCGTACCATAGGAACGTAAGCTTAGGTACTGTGCTCACGGATGACAAGCCTTTGTTAGGAATTTTTATCCAGACTAAGTCAGTTCCAGATATTTTGTCTCCACGGAAGCTTCGTTGGACTATTTTACTGAACGCCTACGACTATGATTGGTTACCTGTAAAAAACAATATTCCAGAAGCTCCACTATTGTCAGAAGTTTTGATGCTAGAAAATGTACCGGAAAAAGTGTTAACTGCAAGAGATATTGCATCGGAAACATTTAAAGGGGGTGTGATCCTAAAAAAACGACTAAAGCTACTTAAATTAAGAAAAAAATTCTAAGATCTCTCGTGAAAACCGCAGTCCTGTATTCAAAATAGTCTCCGACAAAATTCCTTGTGGAGATCAATTATACAGGAAATTGTGATGTCACAACCACCGAAATCGCAGTCTTCTGGTCGTTCAGTTGTCAGTGAACCGTACCCTATACTTTGAGTGGTTGCAATTCGCTCTAGGAGATAATTATCTTTTGTTTTGGAGAATTTTCACACGTGTTAATACTGTCCCTGAAAATCCAGTCTGACGTCACAAACGCCTAGTTGTAACTTCAAACCGCCCTAACTGGAAAACGGACCATCGTAGCAAGATGCGGTTTGAATATTTACTCTTAGATTTTTTTGCACTAAAACTTAAATTTTTCGGTCACACCCCCTTTAAAGATCCGTTATTAGCTAGAATTTTCCAAATGACATGGAAAGGTTGGCCAAAACATTCAAAAAACTTAGCAGCCGAATTTATTCCATTTTATCGAAGGAAAAATACAAGAGTATATATATCAAAGTATATATCAAATACTCTTTTGCTCCCCTTCCAGGGGGGAGGAAAAGAGTATTTGACCTGCTACATGGGTCACACCTTGGTATTGTCAAAATGAAAGCCCTTGCACGATCCTATATCGAGGGTTTCCTGCCAGAAGGGCGTATCCACAAAATTGCGATTTTGGGCTTATAACGTAATGTTTTTTCTTATAGTCGTATATTTTTCGTGCCAAAAGGTCGTATCCATCAGACTGGTGGTGACGCCGCTACTTGCTTATTTTTTTAGACGTATCAACAATTATCAGCAAGTTGAACTTGCCAGAAAGTTGTATGTACATGAGTCTTTTTGGCATGACAAAAGTATATTATTAGTGTGTTATTAGTAAGGTCATATGAACATGTGGCATTCTGGCATGTCAAAATTACACTAGTATATCGGCGTCGCGATTGATAATGCGAAGGCTGGTCGTACGTAAGGTCGTATGTGCATACATAACCTCGAAAATCTCTCTGATTTTCTGTTGTTTATATTCAATGTTCTGTGAATGTAGACGTGCTAGAGTGGTGGAAAACGAATTATTACATATTTAGTTGAAAGTGTTACTAAAGTGATTGAGATATTACAACGACAAGAATTAAAAAGGTATTTACGATGATAAACGTCGAACTTCCCACGGTTTCGTCCAAAGGCTTCAAAAATTCAGGTAATTTGGAAAATGGAAATTAAGAATTTTGGAATCAAATCTCAAGTACCCATAAATTTCACAGTTCAGTTAAAAAGTGAATAATTAATTATGTATTTTATTTCTTACAGATAATCATTTAGTGGAAAACGTTCAATTAGAGAAAGTTCACACTGGAAATAATAATAGAAGAGAAAACAATGTATGGCTCTCACAAGAGGTAAAAACTTTTACTTAAAATCTAATTATTTTGTAGGTAATCAACTGCCTTCAAAAAAGAGATCAAGGAGAAACGTTTAAAGTTCTCTCCAGGGTCCTTATTCTTGAAATGAGAGAAAATTGTACTCCCCGGGGAGCTCCCTGATTTTTCTACTCCTTCATAATTTCTCTTGATTTTAAAAAGCTGTATTCTTGAAAATAGTGAGTAGGAAGGAGTAAGATAAATAGCGAAAACTGTTGCCAGATTTTAGTACAAAACTCTGACCAATCACAAATGATGAAAATTATCAGTGTGACAGCTTTTTGACAAATGCACTTTTTGTTGTAAATTATTAGGCTGTTTAAATTTATCTGTGGCTTATCTGACAATTCTTAGGCAGGCCATATACGCGAATAGACCACAAGTGTGCAGTGGATAGTGGGTGAGAAAACCCTCTCTTTATTTAGATTATTTCAAAGGTGAGTTTATAGTATTTATGCATTTATACTATAGGTACTAATAAATACCAACATTCAATGCTTTTCAGAAAGTAGAAGTTTAGAACAAGAATGGCACACGCACATATAAAACAAGAACAAAAGGAAATTACGTTGCCAGACCAAAATTATTTACTGCAAAGTTTTCACCTGATTTTACAATGGCACACTCAAGAGCTTTATGGCAAGAGCTTGCGACCATTCTAAATGCTCATCGCAATGAGCCAAAAAAGAGTGGAATGCTTGGCGCAAGGGTACTTTTCATAAAATATAGTTAAAAACTGCTTTGGAACCTTTTCCTCATTTTTTTTTTTGTGTAATGCCGGTTTTCCACCAAACAGACAAAACAAAAACACAACTCAAGCTTTTCCCAAACATTTTCAAGACTAGCGTGTTATGATGCCGGTTTTCCACCAAACGGACTGTTGAGTTTTTGTTTTAAAACATGTTTTAAAACTCGCAATTAACCCGAAAAACAAAACTCCAAATGAGCAAAACAGACTGATCTTGAAAATGTTTGGGAAAAGTTGGCGTTTTGTCTTAGTTTAAGTTTTGTTTTTGTTTTGTCGGTTTGGTGGTAAACCGGCATAAGACCTGAATCGACAAAAAAAAAAAAAATAGCAAAGCAAAATTGGCTAGAAAAAAAAATACCAAAAAGGTACAGAAGGGGGGCCTCCTGAACCAGTTACTACAGATAATTTTGACACTAAAGTTATACTGAGCTTACAAAGTCCAGTGTGTATTACAGGCAATATGGAGGAGCCAGGCATCATTCTTGATGAAGAGGTAATATTTGATGAGATGTTCCCTGCCAACAACCTACTAGCAATGGTAGGATCTGTACAGAATATAAAGGTGAACATTGTTTTGAGAAAGGGTTGTAAAATACATATTATTATTAGAAACATTTACAAGAACTTAAACCTTTTGCTTGGTTGGTATCAACAGCTAAGTAACAAACATCTTATTTGTCTTACAGCAAATGAAAACTTATCCCACTGAGCTTGAGAAAAATTAAACTGAAAATACAAGGAAGAACATTGCACCTGAAATAAAGAATTATGTTATACCCAGAGTGACAAAAACCATGGGACTGAATGAATCTATCAAAAACCACAGTAAAATGGTGAACATTTTAGAATATGCTCAAAATGGAACACCGCTCTGAAAAAAAATCAAGTTTTGAAAGAGAAACGAGATGAGCTAAGAAAACGAACCCATATAATGGAGAATATTTCTGTTTCTTTACTTAGCATTGTAGATATCATGAGAAAATCAAGAAGATAGTTTATTTAAATTCTTTTCTTGTTTTTATATTAGTTTATCGGCATTATATATTATATTATTTTAATCCATTATCCAAAAAAAAACACTCACTTTCACTTTGAAATAAAAACTTCTTTGTCAATTTTTTAACGTTTTGTTGTTTGTTTATCTTCATTTCCATTCCCATTTTCATTTTCTCTCACTTGGGACCAGTAGAAATTGAAATTCCTTTAGGGCCAAATTAAGGACCAACTGGTAAACGTCTGGTTGTTACCTAGCAGGTACCTACTTTCTATGCACTAGAGAACAGAAAGTACCTGCTAGGTAAAAACCAGACACTCACCAGTTGGTCCATAATTTGGCCCTTAGGGAAAAATCTGTCTATCAAGTCATGAGAGAAATTTTTTCAAGAATACAGAATTTTTAATTCTAGGAAGACACGCCGACTTTCTCTCACATTTTCTACTCCCTAAGATTCAAGAATTAGGCGCCTGGACACAAAAAGAACACACAGAACAACTTAATTTCTGTTACAGGTGAAGATAATGTTGCAGAAAATAGGTCTCTAGAAAACGATTGGTCGTATGAAGTAGTGTCATTACAAGAAATAAATGTCACTACAAACTTTGATATTAGCATAACTGATTTTGACTCAATAAACTCCATTGGTCCAAATACTTCGCGTATCGAGAGCGCAGAATCTCAAGAGGATAAAGCTATAGAGCAGTCGGAACAGTTTCACCCTGCTCATCCGTTGGATCAAAGAGCTATTGTTGTGGAATCTGCAGAAGATTTAGATAACGCTGTCGAGGATCCGGATTTTGAAACGGAAGATGTACAGACTGAAGAAGCAGAAGACTTAGATGACTCTATGAGTGATCCAGACTATGAACCTGACGATGTAGAGATTGAAGAAAATGAAAATTCACAAAATGGGGAAGCGAAAAACAATGATGAACCAAATGAAAGGAGTAAAGGAAGAAAGAGGAAAAATCCTAAAACGTGGAAGAAGACTATTCGGAAAACCAAACGGTTACTTGGTAAAGAGTATACCGTTACACTAGGTCGAGTTCAACCCAGAAAAGTTCCAAAGGAAAGTTGCAGCTGCATTTTAAAATGCAATGAAAGGCTTAGCGACAGCTAGAAATACTATTTGCCAAAATTTTTGGAATTTAGGAATCTTAGAGAGGCAACACGACGACTTTATAATCAGATGCGTAACTAAAACAGCAGCTGCTTGCCCTAGAAAAGAACATTCTAGGCGAAAATTTTCTTTGAAATACACACTTTCATTCGAATCAGCTGATATGCCTGTCTGCAAAATAATGTTTTTGAATACATTAAATATTTCAGATAAAAAAATAAGAGTTGCCTTGGCTAAGAGCGGCAGATCAACTATTAGAGCGCCAAGCCCAGATAGACGAGGCAGACATGTTCCATCTAATAAGCTTCCAGAGAATGCCATTATGGCTATGAATAATCACATTGACTCGTTTCCCGGAGTTCCATCTCACTGGTGTAGACGAGATACTAGCAAAGAATACTTGGAAGCAAACTTAAATAAAGAGATAAAGTATAAATTATACCTAGAATATTGTCAGGAAACGCAGAATAAACCCGTTTCGAAAACAATATACAAACAAGCGATTATAAAGAAAAACATTGGTTTCTATCATCCAAGAAAGGACCAGTGCTGGTGCTATAACTTTAATAAAGATGACACAGACGAAGGTAATGTTACAGGAAGGATTAAAGAAGAGTATGACCTTCACGTTAAAAGAAAAAATGCAGCAGATGAACATAGGAAAGCCGATAAAACAGCTGCCCAAGAAGATAAATCTATTGTTTGCGCAAACTTTGACCTAGAAGCTGTCCTAAATTGTCCTATATTCTTTTGGAAACCAGTTTTTTATAAACGCAAGCTTGCTGTGTTTAATCTCACGGTTTATGAGGTAGCTCCAAAGCAAGGACATGCTTTTCTATGGGACGAAACAAATGGACAAAGAGGGAGTAATGAGATAGCAACTTGCGTTTCAATTCATTTCCCAAAGAAACCAAACATCTACGATTGTATTCTGACTCATGCCCCAGCCAAAATAAAAATGCAATAATGGCTTGTATGTTGCAATATTCACTATCGAAGCATGATGGATTGGAGACAATTCAAATGAATTTTCTTGAGCTAGGACACACACACATGGAGTGTGATTCCATGCACTCCGCTATAGAAAACGCTGCGAGTACGCAAAAATTTATGTGCCCAATGATTGGGAGAATGTGGTGAGAATGGCCAATAAACGGGGGTTGCCGTATAAAGTAAATCGCTTGACATACAACGACTTTCTGGATTTCAAAAGCTTTAAAATCTCGCAAATGCCTATTGTTCACAAGGCTATTGATTCGACGATTTTGAATTGGAAGGATGTTAGATGTTTACTCTTTAAAAAAGATTTGCAGAATTCAATGTTCGTCAAGTGCGAATACTGGGATGAGTATAAAGAAATCCATACTTATTTAAGACGAGGAAGACGTTCTTCTATTATTTCGCAACCACAAAATGCTTACAAAGAGAAAATTCCGATATCTAAAAAAAAGTATGAAGATTTAATGGCATTATGCAAAGACAATACTATTATATCGGAATACCACGATTTTTATAAAAATCTCCCAGCCATTCAAAATGAAAGTAGGAATGACGATACAGATGACGATGACGAGCTGAGTTTACAAGCAATGCGAGAGAAGATTTTGTCCAAGCGGCGAAAATGAAAAGTCCCAATATTTAAACGTTTTCAGTTCATCAAAATTAAGTTTTCAAGTAGAATTTGTCTTTTTCGTTTTTTTTTTCTAATAAACTTGTTCTTACTTTTGCGTATAAGTCTGATTTTTCCTATATGCACCAAACCAGAAGGGCATATAAACATATTTAATTCTTTTACGGTTTTGACCAAATTCATCAAGTAAATAATAGTATCCGAAACATACGCCTACAAACATTTATTTTTGATGATGAATAATGTGGAAAAAAATTCCACCGAATTTTGGAATGTTTTTATCGAATCCTCTAAATCAATGTTTTGGTTGATACGACCTTTTGGCAGGAAACCCTCGATATGTTTTGTGGCCGAACCTGGACAGTCATATGCCTCTAGCAGAAATATTGATGGGGCGCAAACTGTCCTCACTGTTAGATAGATTAAATCCAGATTTTACTGAAGAAATGGCGACCAAACCAGAAATTAAAGCAGATCTCAGCAAACCTAGAGTCTTGGATAGGCTAGATGAAAATATCAAAAAAAGCTCTCCGTTTTAATTTTAGAAGCATTGTTAAGCTTATTCGCCTTTCTGAATAGCATACCTTCCTCAAGCCACTGTTTTCTATCCAATAGTTGTGGCCACACTTTTCATCAAACTTTTCATTCCTCCCAGAATCATTAAGTTAGAGGTTTATTATTAATGGAATTGATTTCCTGTTAGTAGGGTTAAAATAAATATACAATTAATTTATTAATAAACAAAATCACAATATTTACAATTAGAACAGCTGACTATCTGATCCGATCAGATTGACTAGACTGACAGTGATCCAAATAGGGTCAATGACCGGTACTAACTTAATTTGAATAAGTTCCATGCCCCAACTGCCATCAAAATCCCCAGAACCCTTCATCTTGGAGTTTTGACAGAGCCTTTTTAAAGGACATTGCAGGAACAAGCAGAGGTCATTCAGGTCGAGGACTTTCCACGATTAAGTGTTCGGGAAAACTCCTCAGGCACATTTTGCCGATTTCTGAGTTGCCAAATTTTCGCTCATAGATCTAGGGTGGCTATCCGTTATTTTAGCACCAAATCGCCTTATGCGGATTTCTTTGTGAGCCGAAAAACAGCAACGTGATCAATAGTTTGTTCCTAAAGGCCAAAGAATTTTAGCCTTTACCTTTAGACGTTACGCTTTATCATCACCTTTAATCATCACCTTTTAGTCGTCACGCTTTAGTCCCTAACTTTCAGTAAAGAGTTATACGTTAAGCGTACTGTATATTTCAAGTAGTACCTCCAATCTTGAGCCTCCTCTAGACAATTGGAAGCCTTAGTGACTCCTAGTTACTGAACTTCAGTGCCCAGGGCCAGTTGTTTCTTGTCGTGATCCTGATCCAGTTCCAGGCCATCGGAAACATTGGGAGATATTGATCCAATCCTTCAGGTTCACCTCTAGAGATTAGGGACTACTCAGGTTTGATAAGTGTGTTGTATTGTCTTAATATCAAACCTTACCAACCCCTTGTTGGAGTAAATCACCACAACAACGCAGTTCTACTACCTACATTAAATTACCCTTCAGATTAGATGTTGTTATTTCAGTTTTAATTAATTATATATATTACCTTTAGTATATGAAATTTACCATTTAGGTTATGTACTGTTAGGTACTTCAATTTTAAGTATTTACCTATACCATCTATATTATTTCATAATATCAAATTTGCCCCTCAGGCTATGTATTGTTACTTCAACTTGAATTATTGATCTATATTTCTCTAATAACTATCCCATAAATACATGCTGCACTGGAATACAGGAAATACTTTTACACTGGGGTTAAATGGCCATTTACGAAGGTACTGCATTTAGTAAGCTTATTAATTAAGTTATATTTCAGGTATTATTGCTGTTAATTGTTATACAATACTCTTTATTTCTTTATTTATGGACTCAAGTTGAGCGTAATTAATAATTATTATAAATACTATTTTAAGAACATATGGTTAGGTACTCCGAGACGATTTCTTTTCTTGTTCTGGTTCCAGTGTGAATAATTTTCAGTGTTCTAGGGCGGTCGGAAAACCCACTCCGGCCCCTCCAAACCTGCTCTGGAGTCAAACCTGTTCTGTTCTGGTTCTAATTAAAAACCCGTACCTGATTGTAGCAAAGCGTTTCACTTTTGTCCTCCCTTCTTGTTCACGTTTATATTTCAGGTTGTGCTGCTATAGGTCCGTAGAAGTTTCCTGCTTTCGTTATATCGGTTGATTTCGTGTACTACAGGGAAAAGCAGGTGGCGCTCTATATTTAGTTATTTAATTGACCCACACCCCTCTCCGCATTGGAAGCTATTCGGCAACCCTTCACATGAAGTCACGTTTCTAGATTTCAGCCACCAACCAAGCCTCTCTTTCTATTTTTTTTGTTTTAGTTACCCACTCACTTGTCACTCCCTCAAAGTTTATTATTTACATCTCCCTCGCGTTTTGCGGGTAACAAATTGGCAGTGTCCGTGTTCCCACGTAACAGCATTTCCTATAACTTTTGGGCGAAAGGTCTTACTCCCCTATTTTGACCCTGCTGAATCCAAAAATGCCGGTTGCCCAACCAAAATCCGGACCGGAAGTGCGATCTCCAACATGGCAGCCGATATGGAGACGAAACCCAAAATTGGCGCAGTGAAGCCCCCCTTCGAGATAGAAACGCGGCCAAAATTTCTAGTATAATGGTTTTTAGCATGACGAATTCAAAAATACCTGTAAAAAGGCGTTAGTTAAATCTTTGCCTCTCATATGCAAGATTAGCACCACTTTGGTGTAAGTTATAGTTGACTATTTCTTGTATCGGTTCATAAAAGTTTTCTTTCCAAATTTGCCTTTCTATGCAGCTAGCCAGAAAGTTATCTATACCAAGTTTCTGCTGCTTTTTTTCTTATTTTCACTTCATGTTTAAGAAAACTCTATAAGATGGGCCATTTACTCATCTGAAGCTTTTAAGAGTGCGGGACCAGATCGCATTTTTCCGGTCCTTTTACAAAAGCGTTTAATCATTACAGACCCGTCAGTGTCTTCCAAATGACCGCCATGTCAACTGAAACGGCTCTTCACAGCCTTGTGGCAAGCTGAAGCGAGGAATGTCTCATAAAGAGATGGCTCTGGGGGTATTTCTAGACATCGAATCAGCTCCTTCGACTCGAATAGGAATTTTGAAGAAAGCTTTGGCATAAAGAACACCATTGTCAAATGGATCCGTGTCATGCTGGAAGGCAGAATTATTACAAACTCGATTGGAACTAGCGAAGATCAGCTCAACCGTAGCCAGAGGTTGCCCGTAGGGGGGTGTACTTTCGCCCTAGCTGTGGTGCCTAGTGCTGGATAGACTGCTCCGCACTCTGAACGAGGAAGGTATTTACACTCAAGGCTACTCGGACGATCTTGTCATCGTCGTGGCTGGTAGGGTATCCAGCACGATAAAAGGGATTATGCAAAGTGCTCTTAACATGGTCGAAAGATGGTGTAATAATCACGGGCTCTCGGTAAATCCGGACAAAACCGAAGAAGTACCATTTACAAAGCGAGGAAACGTGTGCCTGGAAGGGCCACGCTCTTTAGATCGAGACTTGCCCTTTCCCGTACTGTCAATTATTTGAAATATCTAGGAGTCATCGTTGACTCCAGGGTCCTTATTCTTGAAACCGGGGAGCAGCGTTACCAAGAGAACGAGTGTTCCGTGTTTCTCAATGATATGCAAATGACAATATAAGTAACAAAGACAGAACACTCGTTCTCCTGGGAACGCTGCTCCCCCGTTTCAAGAATTAGGACCCAGGCTGACCTGGAAAGATCACGTCAATAGGGTCGTCCAGAGGGCCACTGCTAGCTTTTGGGCCTGGTAGAAGTTCCATCGGATGAACCTCGGGCAAATCCACGTACATGGCAAAACTGGACAACCCCCAACGACTTGCCTGCATGGCTACAACTGGAGCATTTAGAACCACCACAACGCTGGCAATCGAGGCCATATTTGGAATAATGCCTCTTCATCCCTTCATGGAGGCACGGGCCCAGGAGGCTTTAGTCAGATTCAACGAATGTGGACAATGGGCTCATAGAGGGCGGAACATGGGACATGCAAGGGCCGGGACTGATACTATCAGACAGGACCCCTTTCTCTCCAGGGTCCTTATTCTTGAGACAGGGGAGCAACGTTCCCAGGAAAACGAGTGTTCCGTCTTTCTCAATGATATGCGAATGATAATATAAGTAACAAAGATGGGACTCGGTCTCCTGGGAACTTTGCTCCTCTGTTTCAAGAATAAGGACGCAGGAGGGATGCAGTACCAAAAATTTCA